AATTTTTCAGATTCAAGCTTCACGTTCGTTTAAATCCGACGCTTAGCTTGCGGTGGGGTGTTAAGGATATTTAGTAATAAATTATAGTTTACCATATATATTATATTTGATATTTTATTATAAGGCAAATATTAGACATTTGCCTTATTATCATAGGTATCTTTTCATTTATTGTTATTTCCATTTATTACTATTTCCATATCCTTGTAATTTATTTGATTATAAATAAGATAACTTTCACACCATTTAGGTGTGGTGGATTAATCAAACATTCACAATCTTCTTTGGATTTTTCCTCTCCAACCAATGTGTGATGTCTGTTAGGGAGAAGTAAGGAATGTTTTGTTTCCCTCTCCAACTGATGTGGGATCTCACAGCATGTGTGTGAGAATAAACCATACTGGAATGACTCATTGATCATGTCGTAGGGAATGCAGAAGAATGTCTGACCATCAGGTGCTAAAACCGAGGCCTGAAACCGAGCATAACCAAACCAAATCGCTATCTACAACATGGCATGTTAATCAAATCAAATTATGCAAAAAGCGAAGAGCCCACGATGAATCCTTAGTTCCTGGCTCCTAGCGTTGTGTAAGAAGTTGCCACGCAAACTTTGGACACCTTCGATTTACTATTTCTTTGTACTTTATTATGCTTCTTTAATTTCAATACCATTGGAACACCTTAGGTGGAAGCAACATCGTTGTCACCTAACTAGTAGACTCACAAATCTTCAAACTACATCATTAACTCGCGAAATAATTACGTGACGTTTAGTTCTAAGAAGCAATGGTAAAGATGTGAGATTTCATATCGATTGAAAAGGATAGAAACTTCTCTCTGTTAGACGAACACGACTCTCCACAATGGTATGATATTGTCCACTTTGAGCATAAGCTCTCATGGCTTTGCTTTGGGCTTCCCAAAAGGCCTCATACCAATAGAGTTAGTATTCCTCGCTTATAAGCCCATGATCATTCCCTAAATTAGCCGATGTGGGACTTTCATCATCCAACACCTCCCCTCGAACAAAGCACGCCTCCCCTTAATCGAGGCTCGACTCCTTTGGAGTCTTAGTCATTTTTGACTGCCTTCGTACCTTCGAGGAGGCTTGACTCCTTTTGGAGTCCTTTGTTCGACATTTAAGGATTTGCCAATCTATTGACACGGCTAAGTTTTAGGGCATGGCTCTGATACCATGTTAGACGAACACGACTCTCCACAATGGTATGATATTGTCCACTTTGAGCATAAGCTCTCATGGCTTTGCTTTGGGCTTCCCAAAAGGCCCATCATCCAACACTCTCTAATACACACGTTTTAAAATTGTGAGTTTGACGATAATACGTAACGGGCCAAAACATATCAGGTTTGCTAGCGGGGAACTTCGTCTGTTACAAATGGTATCAAATCCAGACATTGAGCGGTGTGTCAACGAGAACACTGACCCCCAAGAGGGGTGAATTGTGAGATCCAGCATTTGTTGGAGATGGAAACGAAGCATTCATTTGGAAATTCCTCCCTCCAAGGCTCGTTTTTGGGACCCGTTTTAAAATCATGAGTGGTTGGTTGATTGAGTTCATTAAGTGGCCCAAATTGGAGTTCTTCAGCTTCAACCAACTAGGCCTTCTCTTTCAAGCCTACACTTCAGCCCTAAACCCAACTATTTTATCCAAATACAAAATATAATCTTATAAAATATTTTAAATTATGTTCATATAAAAAAAAAATTAGAAATTAAATTAAGCGTTATTTGGTTGCTATAACTAAATTTTCATGTTTTTTTTTTTTTTTAATTTATGGTTCGGTTTATAACTATTTGATTTTTTAAAATTTGACTTATAATCCCGAACTTCTACTTATTTGTTTATTTATTTTTTTAAATTTAACTAATAATTCATATGTTTGTCGAAAAAAACGTAGAAATTATAATAATAAAATTATAAGAAAAAAACACGATTTAAGAAAAAAAATTGACGTATATATACGAGTCTTTAGTTCGATAACTATAGAGTCAGAGAGAAAATAAACTTGACAAATATATAACGTTTTTTTAGCTCGACCCATATGAAGTTAGATTATGTACTTTAAAATGTTATTTTCATATAATTAAAATTGATTACGACAGAGTCATATGACAGAAAATAGTGTATACACTTGAACTCCGAGAGCTTAAATTTTATGTCATGGCATCTATACCCGAACAAAAAAGTATCTATAAATTTTCCACCAGGTCCCAATTCTTGTTCATACATGGACTTAAGCGAGGATCTTCGAATAGGTTTCTAAAATAACTCGAGAAAACCCGACTTAACCTTGAGTTATTTTGTATAGCTTAACAATTATATGCTAAGATAGGCAGCTGGTGCAAGCCGACAAAGAGAAGAGATGTCAAATCTCATGCATCTTAGCTTCCAAAAACATCCAAAACATTATTTGTCAAACTAAGAAAAGATTCTTAATTAGCTCTTAATTCTATATTCGTATTTGGTCGCAAGAAAAACATGAAAAAACCTCTACTTTTTGTCTGCCGATAATGTTTTGTCTCCCTGTCTTAAATGCTGAATGAAGTTTTTATTTTTCCAAAGTTGACGTCTTTTCTTCGATGGGACTCGTAAAACGTGTAGGTTAAAAGAGCGATTAGATTTGATCCAAACAAATGCAGTTGTTATTGTATCATTAATTTGAAATGATAGATCACGGGTACGTGAATGAAAGAGACTATATTCGAATGAGAGTAATCTAAAAGATATGAAATTATGTTTAGAAAAAGTTTAAAAGAATGGATAGTTATACAGATGCATCTTCAATCTCGGTGATTCAATTATGGGAGCTCAAAAAGTAGAGGTTTTTTTTTGTGAGATCTCACATCGGTTGGAGTGTGAAACGAAACACTTTTTATAAGGGTGTGGAAACCTCTCCCTAAGAGACGCGATTTTAAACCATGAGGGTTACGGCGATACATAAGGGGTCAAAACGGACAATATCTACTAATGGTAAGCTTGGAGTGTTGAAAATAGTATCAGAGCTAGACACCGAACGATGCAAGGATGTTGGCTCCTAAGGGAAGTGGATTGTGAGAGTGTGGAAACCTCACTCTAGTAGACACGTATTTTAAAACCGTGAAGCTAACGATAATACTTAACGAGAGCTAGACATTCTTTTAGTCCAATTATATGTATTTTGTCTCAAAATCTTTTTCTACGACCAAATTTAGAAGATTTTGTGTTTTTTTTTTCCTTAGTTGAAGGAATGTTTGTTTTATAAATTAATAAATAAATAAATAAATAAATAAATAAATATATATATATATATATATATATATATATATATATATATATATATATATATATATATATATATCGGCACATTTATTCAAGTATAAAATGACAAGTCGTGACATATTTGGTTTTATTTTTTAATTTATCATAAATTATTGAGGGCAATGTCATTACCAAATAAAATAACTAATTAATTATATTAAATTCAATATAAATTATATAAAAATAAATAAAAATTTGATTTTATACAAGATATTTGCATTAAGATTGTGATGTTTTATCCCTTAAAATAATAAGACGTCAATTTGATATAATATATTAATAAAAAATGACTAATTAATTAAATAAAAACCTTTTGTTTTATATGCAAGTGTGAAAGAAATATTGATCAAATGTCCCAAAATCTTTGACAATGTTGAATACATAATATATACTTTTAATTAAATGTATTGGGAGTTTACTATATGGTTTTGAGATTTTCTATATATTTTCTAGTATTTTAATATTTGAAGCTAATTTATTACCATATGCATGCTCGTCACTCAACATTGAATTGTTCTAAGTAAAACACGTTTAACCATGAAATTTCTATGATTGAACTACCGAAAAGAACAGTGTACGCTGTTAGTATAGACAGTGACTTTCAATTCTTTTAAGTCTTTTTTAGTCATCTTATTCTCAAAATTACTCTCATTTGAATGTGATCTCGGTTATTCATGTACCTCTCATTTACATGGACGTCACAGTTATCGTGCATGTAATGATAGGCATGAAAAAGTCGTAAAAATTGGGTCATTACACAGGGGTATATTGGTAATTTTTTTAAGTCTTTCTTAATCATTTTATTTTCAGAATCAATCTTATTTAAATGTGATCTCAGTTTATTCCTTTACCTCTCATTTATTTGTACGTCATAGTTATCGTGCATGTAATAATGGACATGAAAAAGTCGGATCATTACGAAGGGGTATATTGGTAATTTAACTAAAATAGTTTGTCTGAAGTCATGAAGAACCAACAAGAAAGAGAGCATTGATAAATGTGATCTTCCAACTCAACCCATGACTTTTAGGGAATCACAAACGGAATTTCAGCTAAATCCCACAAAATTTCCAAAAGTTTTTTTGTCGGGTTGTCCACTTTTTTTACAGGCGCGTTTTAAAATCGTGAGCCTAACAACAATATGTAATAGACTAAAACAGACAATATGTATTAGCGAGGAGCATATGATGCTATAAATGGTATCAGAGCTAGACACCAAACAGTATGTCAACTAGAAAATGTGGAAGTGTCATTGTTTCATCTCACGGGTACATCTGGATTTAGCTAAAGCTCAGATAGGGTAGAGATTCATCATTTAATCAATAGCTCAAATTATCCGTTCACTTATTCATTAGAATTGAAGCATTATTTTAAAATTTATCAGACAAAAAAAATTAAAATAAAAATTTCAAAGACTTAAAATACATTTTTAAAGCCTCGTGAACTAAATTTAAAATTTTGTAATTTAATTATAATTAATAACAAAAAAAAAAAACAGCAAAGATCCAGGCGGGAATCCATGAGAACCGGCACGTGACGGTTGACTGTAACGTCGTTATCGACCACAACTGTTGTTTCTACCTACACCGCTAAAGATAGTAAACCGGCAATAGCCGGTAAGCAAGACAACAAAATTTTCTTCTTCGGGGGATTGCATGATATTATATAAGAGAGAGAGAGAGAGAGAGAGAGAGCATAGGAGAGAGATAATGGGTGGAAGAACAGAAGAGGAAGGAAGTGTGAGCTTGGAGCTTCTGAGGTTAAAAATGGCGGAATTTGCAGAGGAAAGGAATTGGGATCGCTTTCATAGCCCAAGAAATCTCCTTCTTGCTCTGGTATCTTCTTCTTCTTTCTCCTTTCGTTTCTGTTTTCGATCCCGAGTTCATCGTAATTCGATCTCATCACTCGAAAAAGCTACAATTTAGCTCGTATCATTTTGAAAATTAGGGTTTCATCTTATCGTTCAACAAATTCTCGTCCCGTCTGACTCGAGAATCAGTTTTAAATTTATAATTTAACCTAAAAAAAATGGCATAATAGATTTATTAATAGTTTAGGTCTCCAACTTTCAATTTCGTGTTTATTTTGATTTAACCCTGAAACCCACCATTAGCACATATATTATCCATTTTAGCGGGTTACGTATTAACGTAAAACGTGATTAGTAGGACGAGGTTTTCACTCGCCTCCCAAATAAACGCGGGGTCTCTCATGTTGTTGGAGTTTCATATGGAGAAACGAAGCATTCTTTATAATAGTGTGGAAACCTCTCCCTAATAGACGCGTTTTTAAAAAAAAAAATAGATAATATCTTCTGACAGTAGACTTGAAATATATAATACTTGAATGGGCAGGTGGGAGAAGTGGGAGAATTATCGGAGATATTCCAATGGAAAGGAGAGGTGGGGAAGGGGCTGCCGGAGTGGGCGGAGGAGGAGAAGGAGCACTTAGGAGAAGAGCTTTCCGATGTGCTTTTGTATTTGGTGAGGCTCTCTGATATGTGTGGCGTTGATCTTTCCAAAGCTGCCCTAAGGAAGATCCAGCTCAATGCTCTCAAATACCCTGCTAACAAATCCAAGCCCTCTTCTTGATCTTATAATGTCGATCGTTATTGTTACTAATTAAGCTCGAGAATGTTCGGGCCGAACGATGAAGATGGGAAGCCATATATATATATATATAACTCATCTTCACCTCATCCGAGTTTACCTGTGTTATGTTCTTTCAACTTTATTTCATTTTACTCCCTTTAAAATTTGGTACCTGATGACTTTGAATTCCCGGTTACGTTACTTACCCTACAGACCATTACGAGTAAGTCACTTAATATAGAATTGTTCCGAGTAAAACACGTTTCACTACAGGTTTCTATGATTAAGTCACTGAAAAGAAAGATGCACCTTTTTGGTATAGATAGTGACTTTCAATTAAGTCGCGTTCTCATTTGGATGTGATCTCGATTCATTCATGTATCCTTTCTTTATTCCAGTGTCACGTATTTTATATCAGTTGAACTATATTCAAAATAACGATCCGACATAAAAATAAATAAATACGTTTGGTATGAATTAATTTTATATTAATTAAAATAGAGTTTACTTTATTAAAAGGTAGGATATTTAATTTTAAAATTCTATATCTACCCTACGACCCTAAAATAATGATGCCTTACGCTTTATTTATTCATTTTTTTTAAATAAAATTTATATTTTATAACTTAAATGCAACTACAAATGTTCTTAAACTTTAATTGTTTAAAAAATTTATAAAAATAAATAAATAAATAAATAAAAGTGAGGCACGAAGATTTGAACCTTTAAAATCGAGAGGATTACTTATTTAATAGCACGTATAATTAAACTGCTAAATTATGGTTTTAAATATATCGCAAAGTGTAGCTTAACGAGATAAAATGTAATCGCACTTATATACTTAAAAAATAAATTTAAAGAAATATTAGAATGGTTGATTTCGATAAAACACAATAAATTAATTTGTATTTAAAATATTATGATTGGTCAACCGTTGACAATGATCAACGACAATTGTTGCTAGCCGTGAGATATCGGTGGACAGTAGCAGATAATAGCTGACGCCGATATGACCATAGAGAAATGAAAGTAGTGTGAGAGTATTTTGGTCATTTTTATGCATCAAGAAATTTTAGAAAATATTTATTTAATCGCTCTCGTGAATCAAATAGATCGATAAACTAATTAATGATTTAATATGTTTCTAGACTATAAATAGCTAAATAATAATTTTGATGAAATTTTTTATAATAAAAATTAAATTTGTTACAGATTTATAATAAGAACTCTTTTTTTAAAACCTCAAATCAATAATATAACTATTAAAGGATATTTATGTAATTTAGCTTTTCCTTAAAGGGTATTTATGTAATTTAGTTTTTTTTCAAAAAATAAAAAATAAATCATATTTTGAATATAATAGGAAAATGTTAAAAAATGGGATAGAGAGAGAGAGAGAGAATCAAATCAATGATTATCCAAATTTACAATTATTAATAAATAATTGAAATTAAGTTCAATTTTTATTTTAATTTAAGCCAAACTTTTGTCGGTAAATAGTCAAGTTTTTTCTTTGCTTTTTATATTTGTTTATTGGGACTATTTATTTACTCTTTGTTTGATTGTGATAATTTTTATTTAAAAAAAAATAAAAAAGTTAAATGCTTTTATTATGAAAAATTATATTTTTCTTTTCATGTTTTTAACTTTCCCCTATTGTATTCTCTATTTATTTATTTTAAAATAAAAATAATAGTAAAAGTAAATGCCAAATGACTTGACATTTTATTTTAAGAGTTTTAGTTGCTTTCTGTATTTGCCCTTCTACATGAGTAGGGGTGTTTTAGTCTTTTTGTTTAGAGCGATGACGTGGCATCAAATCGGGATCTATTCTTCTTTATTTTATTTTTCATCATAATTGATTCACTGATTATTTTGTAAGGCACCTAGAGGACTTAATGAACCTACCGAGGTTATATGCCTCAACGATACCAATTAATTAGCTCGCATCGTAAACCCTTTTGAGCCAACGAGAAGGTGAGACACTAATATTAAGTCTTGGAGTCAAATAACTTCTTGATTGAAATAATGTTTCGCTCAACTAAATTATTTACGAGTTAGTAGAAGATTGTCTCTCTCCTAAACTTCAACTTGAAGTTTGGATCTATAAGATCCCATATCTATTGAAGAGAGGAACGAAACATTTCTTATAAGAGCGTAGAAACCTCTCCCTAATAGAGACATTTTAAAATCATGAAACTGATAATGATACGTAGCGGGCCAAAATAGACAATTTTTGTTAGTAATGGGGTTGAATTGTTACGAACCTAACCTTTTTATTATTAAACTCTATTATCATAACGCATGCATCTGAAAACCATACATAATTGAAATGAACAATAGAGATAGACTTCTTTTCTTTTTCTTAATAACATCTTTCCCCAACCAATGATTTGTTTAGGGAGATGATTTCTATAAGTTGGAATCTTCCTTACTCAAAAAGTAATTAGGCGTATGATGCCAATGTATAGAGTGGTTTACTCAAAATATGAGGCAGAATTTTAATAATTGAGATTTCATTATAGCTCATACCATATGATATAATAAAGTTAATCATGACTACCACAACCCTAAAAAAGAAATCACAATAAAATAAATCCTTATTTATGAATCAAAGCATCAAGCCTCAAAGTAATGATTATTATCATTGCAGCCATTATGACTACCACTATTAACTTCAAGCCTGTTGCAATCTATATATATATATATATATATATACACATCACATTATGAAGATATTCAAATTCAAATTCAGAAAATCACATTATTGGAGCTAGATCAAGCACTATTAGGGAATGTTAAAGAGAGAAGCCATGGCCATACCAATGTGCTCGAACTCAACTGGGTTAATAGGATGGTGTCGCCCACGACGACGGTCGCGAAGACGAAGAAGCAGTACTATACGACTTGGGAATCGACGGAGAGGGTTCTGTCTTGGGTCACGAGTCATGGTCGGGCCTTTTCGGATGTTGAAGAGGTTGATTATAGAGCTAACTCCAAATGAGAAGTTGATAGAAGCTTATTTCTCGCTTTTGCCATTTCTACGTTCAACTTTGTTCCCTCTTAGCTGATGAATATGCTTATTCTTTAATGAATGAAGCATTTCATTTGGGTGGTGTGGTCTCCTTGTCTCCCTTCACGTTGTTGTATAATCTGTACAATTTCTTGTCCTGTGAACTGTAGTGAAATCAAAATGATTTTCAGCATGGATTTACCGAGTTATCAAGTAAAATAATTTGATTTGATTAGTGGTAATTGTCTATACCATCACCAGTGAAACCAAATAGACTAAAAGGGTAATTTCACTAAATAAAAGTACGCAAAAACCAGTAACAAGTGAGCCAAAACATGGTACTTTTTTGCAAGAGGAGATTTGTTACAAAACATATCAGAAAGAGTACAGTTCAGTGGAAAGCGGAAGGATCAACCATGATCGAACTTTACCTTCTAAGCAGCAGAAGCTGCTTTTATACCACATAAATACACTGCATTTAACACGATCAAAAGTGACTCAAGTGTCGAATAAAAGGGGTATTTTGTTTGAGGGCTCTAGGAAAGAAGTCGAGCCTCGATTAAGGGGAGACTGTCCGAGGGCTCCATAGGCCTCAGGGGAAGGTTTATGGTGTATTTTGTTTGAGGGGAGGATTGTTGGAAGAGGAGTACCACGTCGGCTAATTAATTGGTTGATAGTGAGTTTATTATAAGTAAGGAATACTATCTCCGTTGGCAATGAGGCATTTTGGAGAAACCAAAAGCAAAGCCATAAGAGCTTATGCTCAAAGTGGACAATATCATACCATTGCGAAGGTTCGTGATTCCTAACACAAACACAGTAAATAAACAAACTAAGCTAGCAACATATATATAAACATGAGTCATGACGCACGAGTAATCAATTTACCTGTCTGGATAAGGTAAGCCTATCTATTTTCTCCCTAAGTATTGAAAGAGGGTTGATTGGTTGTCATTACCAGTCTTCAATCTTCCCTTCTTCCTTATCTTTGGACTACTGCCAATCTTACGACAGTCATCCATGCCACTTTTTGACTCAGATGAGATATCTTCACGGTCCCATTTGATTTGAGATACAGTCACAGAAGAACACTTCGCGAGACAATCCTTTGATTCTTCAGATGAAGCTCTAAGGTTTACATCTCTTTCATGTTCTTCTGGACTTAACGATGGCTCAGGCTTCACAGATGTGTTACGGGGAATTTTTTCTTGTGAATTTGAGTGTTCATTTTTTATTTCTTTTGCAGAGAAAAATTTGGAGATGACGTTTCTATCATTCTTTAGCTGTATCTACATAAGAAGACATAAAAATGTTGCCCTTGATCTATATAGGGCTAATCATTAATGTAAACCAACGAAGACTATGACTATTACTCAAAATAAAAGCATAATGATTGATGCTACATTGGCAATCATTTTTAAAAAGCACTAAAATCGTAATACCTTCTACAGAAAAAAAAAATGTTTTCAAATGTTTTAGAAAATGAAGTTACTAATCATATTTTCCAAAGGGTAAAAACCAAGAGAGGCTCATGTCCATTGGATCCATATGAAAGCCATTATGTATCTTCAAGTAGGCGGCTCCCAGTATTTCCTTGCCAGATTCTTCTTCCCTTCATAAGATGTGACAAGCTTGCAACCTCTGTTTTCTATCAAGGCTAGTAGGAATTCCTTATAATCCAGAAACCTCCCCTCAGATTAATTTCACCGTTGTACAATTTGGCATTAATACACTAATCTTTTCTATAATAAAATAAAAATTATTGCAACCAAATCAGAGATTGGCAATTTTTAGTTCCATCACGCCCCCATCAACATTCAAATCCAATAAGAAAAGATAAGACTGACCGTGCAACCACTCTAAAGCTGGAGATGATGAAGTTGTAAGAATGGTATGAGTGTAAATAATTAACCGGCAAAAACAATAATAACAAATTCAAGAAAGCCTCCCCTGCATTGTGCAAAAAACAAAACTATTGATTGAATACCATTTTCTAAAAGCAAAAGCCATGAATTACTTAAACCAAGACAAAACTACGAAATAGCTCCTGCATACACAAATGCTTAAAGACCACAGGTAACAAAAACAGTAACTGCCATTTCAATAAAATTATACACGAAAACCAGATAAAGGCCACAAGACAAAAGAGGGAAAATTACCGTCTTGAAGAAATTAGGTTACTCGGATTTCTCGGTAAAACTAGGAATCAGACCCCACCAGATTCATAATCTCGACGAACAATCGGCAAATCCGAGCCCGGGGAGACATTGAACATTGGACGAAAACTAAATATTCAACAAAAAACAAAAAAATGTAAAATACATAACAGCCGTTAAGTTCAGAACCCATCCACTGGACATAGATGGAAAATTCGAATAAGTCAAGAAGAACGAAATAAGAAAGAGCTGACTGACGTTACCGGTCCATGATTAAGGAGCGGACGCGGCCGCCGGTACGGCGACAGGCCCTTGGGATGTCATGAGCTCCAAGAGTACGACTGGCTCTTCCGCACATCCATCTCTTCACTGCTGTGCCGCACTCCCTATAGTATTCTACTGGTAAGTAAAGGTCGAGTTCAGATGCTTGGCGGTTGGATGGCGATGGCGGATGCTCTGGACGGGGTGCTGAAGGAAGGTTCTGGACGCGGAGGAACGAAACGGCGGGAAGTAGCAAACCGCCAGAATCAAATCAATAACCTATACTCTTGTATATTTATAATTTTGCCCCAAAATTTTTTATGGATTAAAGTATCTTTTTTATATTAAAAAAAATAATTAATGAAGTACCAACAATTTTCATCCTAAATTAGGATTTTTTTTTTTATATAAATTACGGATATTTTTATTAATTAAATATAATTTTTAACCATTTTTTATACGAATATTTAAAAACTTATGCGATGAGAATTACCTTAAAAAATCGAGGAACATATATATATATATATATATATATATATATATTAGAATTAAGAAAAAAAAAAAAAAAAAAAAAACGTTCACAATAGTCCTATTGACTAAATGGCGAGCTGGTCGAAAAATTGGCGTTTCTATCTCAACGCCTAATAAAATTTCTTCCAAACACCTTCTCCCGCCATTTTTTCGCGGATTTCTCTCCACTACAATCCCGATCCTTCTTCTTCCCCACCTTCTCAATTTCTCATTTCCATGGAAGCGATTCTGTTTTCCATTGAAATTTCTTCTTCCACGCCGGGTTTTTGTTGAGTTATTTCTTACTTCTACTCCCCTAGTTGAAGCCCTAGTTGAAGCCCTAGTTCGCTTCTTCAGGTGACTCTTCTATTACCCTTTTGAATTTGTTTAGCTGCTTGCCTTTTTTGTTTTTCTCTGGTTTCTGTGAAGATTGCTTCTACTTTTCTTGTTGAGTTTTTTTTTTTTTTTTTTTTTTTTTTTTTTTTTTCTTCTTTTACAAGTAAGGTTTTGCACATCATGCCGTCCCTGATTTCGTCCGGCAAGATTCTACGATTGGAGCTTGAGAATTTCAAATCCTACAAGGGTCATCAGATAATCGGTCCTTTTTATGATTTCACTGCCATAATTGGCCCCAATGGAGCTGGGAAGTCGAACCTCATGGATGCTATAAGCTTCGTGCTTGGTGTTCGGACTGGGCAATTGCGTGGGACACAGTTGAAGGACCTAATCTACGCTTACGATGATAGGGAGAAGGAACAGAAGGGACGGAGGGCGTTCGTTCGGCTTGTTTATCAGATGGGAAATGGGTCGGAGCTTCAGTTTACCAGGACAATCACTAGCACAGGCGGCAGCGAGTATCGAATTGATGGCAAGAGTGTCTCCTGGGATGAGTATAATTCGAAGCTGAGGTCACTTGGAATACTTGTCAAGGCTCGGAATTTCCTCGTCTTCCAGGTTTACTCTGAAAATTTTGTTTCTTATTTTTAGAAAAGGGTTTGCTCCAAGCTATGATATGCTTGCTTAATATATTTCCTTAAACCTAACAATTGCAGGGATCATAGTAATTTTCGTAAATTGTTACTCGTCTTAGTTCTATTTATAGAAAAATAGCTTAATTGAAACAATACACATTCTTTAATTTAGGAAAAATTGTTATTTTGTCGAGCCAAATTTGTTACAGGTCAAGCGGTTTCCTGAGTTGTCTCAACAAGTTAGGAGCAGCGGCTAAAATTTTATTATTTTATACTTTTAATCTCTTTCATATCTATGCGCCATCTAAAAATGTTGAACTTAGGCTTGGTTTGAAAACTGTACTTCTTTTCTTACACTTCAATTACAATGGTTTACGCTTTTCTGAGGAACATTTGAGTTCCTAAAACAAGAACAAATTTTTAAAAACTTTTTTTTGGGTAGTTTTCAAAGCTTATCCTGCATTTTGAAAATGCCCTGATAGGAGGATAATAAAATGAAACTCATGGATGGAAGTAAAATTGTTAAGCTTAATTTTTAAATTAAAAAGTTAAATAATTATTAGACATAACCTTAACCATTGAAAACTCGAGATCATCAAGTATAACTAATTAGATAATGGCAGAAGTTAAAGATTTTTTTTTATTTTTAACTTCATTTAATTATGAAAATAACAAGGGTTGGACTAGAGGTCACCACAAGTCATGTAAATGATAAAAGGTTTAAATGAAATGAGTTTAAGCCATGGTGTCCTCCTATTTAGGATTTATATGTTTTGAATTACCTTGACATGAGGCATGAGAATAGTCAATGTTTGACCAGAGACACTCGTGGATATAAAAAAAAATTAGCTGAATAGTACAATCTAATACAAGATGATAAAGTACCGACAAAAAGGAAAGAACAACCTAGTGGCCTAATACAAAGGAGAAATGACTTGCAATATTATGTACGGGAGTTAGAAAAATTAGTTGATAAACGGAAAGATCCTACAAATCTGAAGATAGAAAGTATGGTAAGGGAGAAAGGAGATGGAGTTTTAATTGTGAACCAATCAACGTCGACACCCTGTTCTGTTCACATGCTCAACTTTTTGAGTATTTTGATTAATTTGTGTGTGCATTTTTGTTAGATGATTCAATCATTTGCCTTACGTTTGTCATATTCCTATTGTTAACCTACTTTTTCATTTAGGGTGATGTAGAATCCATTGCATCCAAGAATCCCAAAGAACTTACTGGACTTCTTGAGCAGATCTCGGGATCTGATGATCTCAAGAGAGAATTTGAGGAGTATGAAGAGAAGAAAGCCAAAGCTGAAGAAAATTCAGCGCTTGTATATCAGAAGAAAAAGACTATTGTGATGGAAAGAAAACAGAAGAAAGAGCAAAAGGAAGAAGCAGAAAAACATCTCCGCTTGCAAGGTCAACTGGTATGCAACCTGACAATTCTCTGTACATTGAGCATGCTACAATAATTCATGCATTGACAAGTGTCAAGTGTTCAGATATTCAATGTCTGTCCAGCTAAGTTTTTTTTTTTTTTTTTTTTTTCCTTGCATGAAAATAACATCTTTCTTATTCTCTTATATAATATCTTAAAAACTTTAGGAGTTTGTGGGACTTTTTTCAAATTATTGAAATTTTTAATATTTTCTTTCCATTTTTCTTCTTTTTTCCCCATCTGCAGAGATCTTTGAAGAAAGATCACTTCTTGTGGCAATTATTTGTAATAGAAAAGGATGTTGTAAAACTCAACGAGGAACTTGAAGCTGAAAGAAGAAATCGTGATGATGTCATGCAACAAATTGATGGTTTTGAACACGAAGCTTTGAAAAAGAGGAAAGAACAAGCTAAGTACTTGAAAGAAATTGGTAACTGCGAGAAGAGAATTGCAGAGAGAAGTAATAAGCTTGATAAGAATGTAAGTACGTTAGCTTCCTTTTGTTGAATTCATTTCAAGACATCTGAAAATAAATCATCTCGAAGTGCATGTTTGACGCTTAGAGTTTTGGCTTCTGAGGAACTGGTGTGTAGGACAGTATAAATTGTACTTCTGTTGCAGATGTGGACCCTTTTATTACTCGATGCTTAATATTGTTGAGGATTAATACTTTTAAGGGTCTGCGATCATTAATTATATGCATAACATGTGTGCTAGGTTATTAAACAAACATTTTTTTACTTTTTAAATTTTATTGCCATGCTTTGCAGCAACCTGAGCTTCTGAAATTGAAAGAAGAAACATCTCGAATAAATTCAAAAATCAAGAGAAGTCGAAAAGAACTTGATAAGAAAATAGAACAAAGGAGAAAACATGCTCAATATATAA